TTATTTTTATTGGTCTAGAGTGGCAACTCTCTGGCTGTGGCTGTGTGGCAGAAAAAATGGCCACATACACAGTGGCATGAGAGAGAATTTCTTGAGGGCATCATTCTTTGTAAGGATTTTATCATATTGACATCAGCTCTCAGTCTAGCAGCCATCAGCTGAGTTATTTTATGTGAAGACTTGCCAGGTTAAAAAGGTTACAGGCTGATGTGATGCTGGGCAAACTCCATGGCATCCTTTTAAGATTTCACCAAGGATTGTTCTGACTCTGCCAGTCTGTTTTTAACTGATTTTCCTTCACCCATGTGTTTCCTCTCAGCCTAGCAAGTGACAGGGTTTGCTCATGAGGATTGAACAGAAGACAAACGTGCTTGATCCAGCTAGCAAAATTTCTGTGGAGACTGAGGAAGAAATATGTTTGCCCTAAATTTGTTTCTCTTATCTATGCATTAACAGCTGCTTCCAGAGCCATATATTTCCTTTATCAGTTCAGCCCCCCCACACTGTATTGAATTCCTGAGGTAAGAACTGTAGACATCCTGTATCTTCCCCCTTGCTTGTTGAGGCACAGAGCAGCATCTGCATGAGAATGAGGAGAAATCTCCTCTCAGGAGAGCTCTGGGCTGCAGCCATCCTCTCTGGGGACAGAAGGGTGTCCCCAGGGGAGTGCATGGTTAGGACATCCATGTGCCTGCACAGGGGAGCACAGCAGGGAGCACAGGGCAGGGGGTGATGGCTCTGGAGGAGAGGTGAGGTCTGTGTTTGTTCCTGTGCAAGGAGCTGGTGTGGCTCTGAAGTTCCTGCAGGAAACCTCATGGTAAAGATGCATAGATAAATATGCACTTGCCTTGCTTGTGGCATTCCAGGGATTAAATTCTTGCCTTGCTAGAAACAGCTCCTCTCTACTCCTGCTCAGAGGAACAGGGGCATCCAAAGAGTTTATAGATTCAGGCATGCTCCTTAATTCATGGCCCATCTATAGAGGCCTGGTGGCCACTAGCCCTCTGCTCTGAGCCATGTGCTGCCTGCACAGGCCAGCCTTCAGTCCTCCTATCATCTGTCACCCTGATGGGTTCAGATCCTTGTGTGTGTGCCCATTTTATCACAGGCTTTGTAGCCAGTGTATTCCTGTCTGTTGCTTGCTAGAGGTGGGGTGGGAGTTCTGGCTTCTTTTAAGAGCTAGAAAATGAGATCCACATTCAACCTGAGTGCCTTTGAATACCTGTTAAGGTTTATAGTTAACAGAAGGGTCAGCTCTGTGTGTCTCACTGGGAGGAGTGCAGATCTCTGTTGCAGAGATCCTGTGAACAGATGAGGATGGTTTCTGTCAAACATCAGCAAGAGCTATCTGCAGAGTAGGGAGCCAGGCTGAGCTTCTGGCTGTGTTAGTCTCAGTTCCTCTTCTGGCACGTGGGCAGTTTTATTGTGGGAGAGAAACTCAGGAAAGACAATTAGTAAAAAAAACCTGCTGCTCTGCCAAAAAAAAAAGAGACTCTCCTGCAGTCTCAGGTAAAACACCAGCTTGAGAGAAGCTCAATATCACACCTCTGTTCAGTCCTAAAAACAGCTGCTGGTGGGAGAGGCATCCAGCACCCCTGGCAGGGATGCAGGGGCAGTGTCAGCAGTGAGCTGGGCAGAGGGTTTCCTCTGCTAGGGAGAGGTCTCAGTGCATTGTCTCCCAGGCTGGCACTGCCTGGGACCTTCAGGGCTGAGGGTTCCAGGGCTCCTGGGGAACCACGTCCCCCGCGTCGCTGGAGGGGGGGCACACACAGCACCCTGCTCTGGGCTGCCCTTGGGGGGGCTGCTGCTGCCACTGGAACCTTTCTGGGGTCACTTGGGGGGAGCTGAGTGCTGAGGGCAGGAGCTGTGCCCCCGAGGAGCTGCCCTGGCCAGGCCACCTAAGAGCCAGGAGTGGCACTGCAGGGAGTGCCATGCACCCGAGGCATGTGGAAAGCTTTGGTCCTTGTCCTAGTGTTATTTAAAACTCTGCATACTATGTGATTTTAAAACAAAAAAAAGACTGTTTACACAAAATATTTTGTATCTTCGGATGTGTGTACTGTAAAAAGAAAAAAAAAAGGATGAAAAAAGATGTTTTTCTACAGCTGTCAGCAGTGAGTGCATGTCTGTGTCATCCTCCACCCACCCTCCTTCCTCAGGGGTCTCCCCACCATCCCTGTGATCCTGTCAGCAGCACAGGGAAGCAAGTCAATCCCTGTGCAGTCTTGGGAAGAAGGTTTTGTGCCTTAAGAATGGGACCTGCTTCCCTCCTATTTATTGTGTTAATTTATACAGTGATAACCATGGAAATGTCTCATGTATTTGGGGTTTTTTTTTTTTGTACATAGTTTCCTGTTGATGTAAATAAGTTTTTCTTGTATATAAAGTAAACATGTTTCTGAGCTTCCAGTAAAGATTCTCTGTTACTGATCCCATTGTGAGAGGGCTGCAGTGCCCATCTGGTGGGAACCAGCTAATAAAAGTCTGTGCTGTGATAAACTGGCTTGATCCTGAGTTGCATCAGAAGTTCAGAGCTGCTCCACAGAGAGGAGTGAAAGGATAAATGTGGTTGCTGGAGATCAGTTTTGTAGCATTTCTTTGCATTGGTGTGATTGGTGTGGAGCAGAAGACATCCTACAGGATATTTTTATTAGCTGTGTCTCTGCAGTGAACAAAAGAGATGTTTGAAAAGTGGTGATTCTGCTGCTCATCCTGCTCCTAGCTCTGCTGTCTGCAAGCCCCCAGCTGGGTGGGAAGACATCTCAGAAGCTCAGTGGGGTGTTTGGTTGTTAGCACAGGTCACAGATGGATGAACTTTGAAACCTTTGTTGGAAGAGAGCTTGTTGTCAAGGAAGTCCAGGGCTAAGTTTTTAAGGGAAGAAGAAAAGTTTTGTAAGTAGTCAGAGCTCTCCTGAAGAGAGCTGAGATCCTGGGGAGCTCCATCTTCTCCTGACAGCCAGTGGCACCTTCTCCAGGGAAGGATCCCTGAGGACCCCTCTTTGCCCAGGGAATCTGCAGGGTGGTGTCAAGGCTCACAGAGGTGCCCCTGCACAAACTGCCTCCAGAGGAGGGGAACACAGCACCTCACACTTCTTCTGAGGCAGGAAAAGTTCTGAAAAGCATTGTGCTTTTTCTCTAAAATGTTTAATACTCAAAATTCAGTGGAAGATGTGCTGATCCAGTGCACCAAAAGATGCAACGTGGTGATACAAGCTTCTTGCTCTGTCTCCTCCCAGCAGGCACTGCCCACTCGTGGCTCTCAGGGGGGTTAACTGCCTTGGCTGCTCTCTGGTGAGAAAGTAAAGAGGAAGAGCTCTTAAAACCAGCAGCCTGTGTCCCTTTTGGGTGGTTGCATGTGGTGAGAAGGGGGTAGGATCTCTCAGGAGACCTCAGCACTTGGTGGTTCTGCTTACAAACTAAACAGAACCATTTCTACTTGCCAGAGAAGCAAAAGGGGAAAAAAAAAGGTATTTGGAAAAGGCAGAGTGGATGCCTCAGCTGTTTCACTTTCCTCCTGCATGCAGGTCAAGCTCCCTGTGAGCACTGTTTGTTTAATGACTAAAAACAAAGCTCTTCATGTCTCTCCAAAGAGTAAATATCCCAAGTTATGGATTAACCAAGTTCCAGCAGAGCTCATGGTGGAAGAACAGATCACGAATAGATCACGCTGGTTCCCACTGAATAAAGCAGTAAGTGCTCCAGAAGTACCCTGGCCTTGGGGGGTTTCAAAGTGCAGCTTGCTTTAATGAGGCATAAAGCTTCTCAAAAACCAAGGAGAGGATGTTGAGGCAGACAAGAAGTGTTCTGGGAGAGCTGCTGATGGGTGAAAGGGAGCTAGCAAACCAGTCTGGAGAGCCTCTAGTGACCAGAGCTGAGTCTGAGAGGGGCACAACACAGCCTTCAGCAAGGGAGCTGCTCTGAGCAAGCCAGTGGAGGAGCTGAGCTCTGCCTAGAGCCTGGCTGCAGCAGGGGGGGGGATGCTGCAGCTCAGCACTGGGCTCCCCTCACACCCACCTTCTCTCCTTCAGGTCACTCCTGCTGCAGGATGTGGAAGCTCCTCACCGTAGGGGTGCTGCTGGCTGCCTGCTCCTCACCAGTCTGTAGAACCTCAAGTAAGTTTTAATCTCAGAGAAATGAAGCCCCTCACCCTTTTCCAGCCCCTGCAGGGGACCCACAAGCAGATTCTCTTGCTGTGTTAGAGAAGGGCTGGCGCTCCGCTAAGCGTCCTGTGGGAGGGACCACCTCCAGTTTTCATCCAGCTCTTTGCCCTGCTCGTGCTTTCACGTTTTTTGCTTGCAGTATTTTATAGCAATAAAGATGCAAACCAAGTCCTGAAAATCCAGAAGAGGTCAAACTCTTTCCTGGAGGAGCTCAAACCAGGCTCTGTGGAGCGCGAGTGCCATGAGGAGCGGTGTGACTTTGAGGAGGCCAGTGAGATATTTGAAACCAAGGAATTAACAGTAAGTTGGTATTTTTTAAGGATGAGTGTGAGACTTAACCAATAAATTGTTTGTTTTCTTGAAGTACTGCAATCCAGGGCATAGATCTTGCTGCCAGCATCACTCCTGACGTGGAGGGCATGGTTTGGAATGTTCTTGTGTTACAGTGGTTGCCATCTGTGTGGGCCACAAAATGTGGCTCCTCATGCCTGTCCCACCTGCCCTAGTGGTGAGGTTTAGGTCCCAGCCAAGTCATCCCAGTCCCTGCTTGACCCCATTGACTGCTCTTGCTGCCAGTGAGGTTTTCCCAGTCCTTCCAGTCCTTCACCCTCTGTTGTCCATTCCCCAGCCCTGGCTGTGTCTCCCCAGTCTCCCACCAGTGCCTGACAAACATTCCTCATCACTGTGTTCTCCCTCCTTCTCCAAACCTATTTTCAATGGGACACAACCTTTATTGTGAAGATCTCTGATTCCTGCCCCTTTCCACACTCAGTTGTGTTGGCTTGGAGGGTTTTTTTTGGCTGTGCCAAGCAGAGAAGCCTTGCCACATAGGATGAGCCAGTCCTGGCTGTCTCTCAGCCCCCAGAGTGGTGTGGGGTCTGTCTCCACAATGCCCACGTTTTGTCTAACTGGGCACAAAGGAGTTGTCCACTCAACTACACGGGTGACTTCCCTGGCAGTGAGTGCCCAAGAAACAGAGAAGCTGTGGAGATATTGAGGGGTTTGTGGGGCTGCAAGCAGGCTTGGGGGATCTGTGCTGAGGACAGGCAACAGGAGAATGTCCAGGCAGGCCAGTTCTGTTGGTTTGTAGGACCAGTCACTGCTCTGTTGAGAAGAACAAGGCCAGTGTTGGCTGGGCTGCTGTGCTTTGCTGGCCAGGACACACACACTTTAAAGCCCTTGCTTGTTAAAGATCTACTTCTAGCCTTCATGTGAGTTTTATTTCTCCACAGATGGATTTTTGGAGCAAGTATGTAGGTAAGTAAAAGACTTTTCTAATCACTTCTCTGCTTCCTCAGGAGTAACTGGTTCTTGGCCTTCCTGCTGCTGTGCTGCTGACTCAAATTCTCATTTGCTTTTAAATGGGATGTGCAAAGAATGTTTTCCTGGTCCATCATACATGCAGACTTCCTAAAAAACTAGAGGTGCATCTGTGCCTGTCACCAGTCATCCCCCCATGGCTAAGGCAGTGGTCAGAAGTGCTCCCTGATGCTCTAACCCTGCCTGGCATGGTCCAAAGAGGAGTCTCACCCCTGCTCTTCACTCCCCCACTAACCTGCCCTTGCCCTGCCTGCCTCAGGTTTTGCTTTTTTTTCCCCCTTCTGCCCACTTCACTCACTCTGCTGCTGTAATTCCAACCCAAACCAATGCCCTTGTCTCTGGGCCAGCACCACAGAGGTGGCAGAAACCATGGGTGATGCTTGGGACTGCAGGGAGGGGCTGTTGGTGTCCCTGTTTGACCCGTGAGCTCCACGACTCAGGGCCTGCCCTTTGCCTGCCTCTCTTCCAGATGGAGATCAGTGTGTCCCACAACCTTGTGCCAATGGGGCCTGCAAGGACAATATTGGAAAGTTTTCCTGCCTCTGTCACAAAGGCTGGGAGGGCTTTTTGTGCAATTATGGTAAGGCTGCCTTCAATCCACTCAAAACTGGGGTTTTTTGAGGCAGGGGTCTCTGTGTGGTGGGGATCAGCACTTGTCATGGCACACTGTACTCACTTTCTTGACTGATGTGATTTCTCTTTTGTTTCATCATGTGGTAAAAGAATTATCTGTGCTTACCTAAAGCAAAATGAATGGTACCTTAGGAGAGGTTGAGAGATATCTAAATTTGACAAAAATACTGCAATACTGGAAATAATTCTGATTTCCTTTAGAACTGCCAGCACAGAGATGCTGATGGGCTTTTTTTTTTGACAATACAGGGGGAAAAAAAAAACCAATCCACTGCAAATATTTGATGGTCATTACTGTGACAACTTCTTGCTTGGACAAAGCTGGATGACACCTTTAGGGATAAGCATGGATGTCATATCTCATCAGGTTTTTTTCCCACAGAGGTGAAATACACCAACTGTTCTGTCAACAATGGAGGGTGTGAACATTTCTGCAGGGAGGAGCCTGCCAGGCAGGGCCGCTCTTGTAGCTGTGCCTCTGGCTATCAGCTGCTGGAGGACCATACCACCTGCCAGCCTGTGGGTAAGAGCAGCTGCCTGGTCCACATTTGACAGAGGATTCATCAAAGGAAGAGGTTTTGGGGGGAGAATTGCCTGCAGTGCACTTAGTGCTTGTTTTCAGGACCCCCCTTCCAGGCAGAGTAGCTCTCTGCATTTCCCAACTCCATACCCACTTGGTGGCCTTCAACATGGGTTTGGTTTATGGCCTCCAACCTGGGTTTGGTTTATGGCCTTCAACCTGGGTTTGGTTTATGGCCTTCAACCTGGGTTTGGTTTATGGCCTTCAACCTGGGTTTGGTTTATGGCCTCCAACCTGGGTTTGGCTCAGGGAGGTGTAAAGGGGAATCAGGACACTGCCACCTCTGCAAGGCACTGAGGGATTTCCACAGAGCCACCTAGGTTAGAGAGGTGGGAGGGAATGCTTTAGAAAGAGGTTGTGTGTTGAGGGATCTGGTCTTTGCTAGTGAACTTCTCTGCATCCCCTGTAGTGGAGTTTCCCTGTGGGAGAGCAAAAATGGATGACATTGAACCCAAAGCAGGGTTCACTATTCGCCTCATCGAGGGAAAAGCAGGAAGAAGAGGAGAAAGCCCTTGGCAGGTAAGGAGGAAAGGGTTTCTCAGCACATACAGTTCATGCTCTTCCAAACTGCTCTGCCTGCCTCACTGCTCCAGAAAGGTTCCTACATTACTAGTGGAGGTGTCCCAAGAAGCTAAGATTCCCTTAGCTTTTGAGAAAGCAACTCAAAAGTTGAAGTAACAGGAAAAATTAGCTTGTTATCTTTTAGAACTCTTGACCTTGTTACTGTTGTCAGGTTTTTTACCTTACCTTGCCAACAGTGTCAAGAGAGAGGATAGTGATGACACTCACCTACTCTGTTTTTCCATCCTGGAGGAGGCCACTTAATCAGTGCAGCTCGTGCTCCAGGTACTGCAGGAGCATTGTGGTGGGAGTGTGAGGTCACCTTCTCCCCTTTCTGCAGGGATCCCTTCTGAGAAGCCTCATCTGTCATAAGATGGAGTTAGCAGAGTGAATCAGGAAAATATTCCATGGCTTTACAGAGCAGGCTGGGAGATGACAGAGAAAGGGGAGATCTTTCAGAGCTAGTAGTGAATGCAGATAACCAGGGCCTGGTTCTCTCTGACATTAAAGGCCCTTTTACTCTGTAGCATGAGAGCAGCATCCTGAGATGACACCATCTCTTCTGGGCTGTCAAGACAAGAATAATCCTCTGTGTTTCAAAGCTTTGAAGTACCAAAGTGCTGCTCTGCAGTGACCAGGACCATCCCATGCTGATTTGGATGAAGCCAGGCCTCATTCAGGAAGAATACCCAAAACTTTTTGCAGGTGTTCTACAGAGACCTTATCCATGGTGCTTTTGTCCCACTGGAGAGCTCTGGCTTCAGTGACTGTGCCATGCCCTGGTGTTTGCTGCTCCTGGGTGGGTGTTTTGCAGCCCCAGAGAAGCAGGTGAGCAGTATTTTGTGAGCCATGCTCTGTGCAGTATCAGACCTCTCTGGTTTTTTTTTTGTTTCAGGTTATGCTGCAGAATAGCAAAGGGAAGTTCCTCTGTGGGGGTGTTCTCATCCATCCATCCTGGGTCCTAACAGCAGCACACTGCACTGAGGCAGAAGTGGGGCTCAAAGTAAGACTTGGTATGGAAAAAAGTCTGTCCCTGATATTTTAAATAAATGGTTTCATCCCTAAGGTTTATCATCTCAGGAGGTAGCTAGTGGGTCATGAAGACAAAAGTCCTTCTTGGTTAGGAGCAGGTTGTCTAGGAAGCATTTACTCTGCACCTTAGCACAAAGCAAAGAAGTTTGGTGAAAATCTGATTTCATTTGAGTCACTATGAACCTTACTCTGGCAGGGAGTGGATGTCTGCTGAGCACTGCAAAGCAGAAAGCCTTGGTCTCTTCTGCTTGTGTTTTTCAATATTCAAGGTCATCCCAATACTGGGAAAACAAACATCTTGACCCCAGCAGGAGAATGTCACACTATCTTTTCCTGCCTTTTCAATACATTTGAACACCATTAAGTGTTTCAGTAGTGTTTTTCTGGTAATGAAAATATTCAAGGTCATCCCAAACATCTTGACCCCAGGAGGAGAATGTCACACTATCTTTTCCTGCCTTTTCAATACATTTGAACACCATTAAGTGTTTCAGTAGAGAAAGAGGAGAGGTGCTGCAGATGGGTAACCCTGCCTACACTGGCCCTGCTGCTCCTAAGCATGGGGAAATCTGTCAGGTCCAGCACTGCTCCTCAATGACAGACTAAAATAACCAGTGTTCTGCTCACACTTAAGTAGATTCTTTTTTTTGATGTGTTTTTTCTATCTACCATTGGTGACAGAGGCATAACAGCACAACTTCTTTCTTATTCCAGTAGTGGAAATAATAGGTTGTTCTCAATAACTGTGGTAAATCTGGCAAATATATTATCTGTAGACATAGCCTTGGAGATGTTTTGTGTGTGTGTGTGTTCCATGTGTACTCTGCCTGGGCAGATGTTTGGAGGCCAGAGGCAATAAGGCACATGGGGGATGGATGTGTCCATGTGCATCCCCCACTGTTCAGCATAAAAGATGAGTGGAAAAGTATGTGAGATGGCCATGGGTCTGTGCAACTTTGGGGCATTTTACTGCCTCCAGAAAAGCAGTTCTCATCAGAAAAACACAGGCTCCAAACTCTAGAGAGATCTAGTGGGATACACAGAACAGAGTTTGGAGTGGAGACGTTGCTTTGTGTGAGCTCTGTGATGGAAGATGTTCTCCCTGGGGCTGCAGAGGTGAGATTCTGGGTTTGCACTCATGAGGTTGGGGTAGCCTTGTAGCAGGGCTGACGTGGCTTTTTAGTGTCTGAAGTGAAAGGGGAGATCTCAGAGTAGCTGAAGTTGTGGAAGATGGATTTGAGAACAACCCAGCTTTCCTGTTTGTGGCTCTTGTTCCTGCATCTCCATCTTAAGACCATCCAAAAGTGTGTTCAGAGCTCCAAGGTGATAGAGCAGATAGGTGGATGGAATGGTTCAGTTAAAAATGCTGTCTCAGAGAACAGGTCTCACACTTCCCTGTTTATGTAGAACCTTATAGTTAATGTTTTTTCTGCCAGGAGCAAGAGGTGATGCTTCTCACTCTGTAGAAGGAACTAGATGCATTCCACACAGCCTCTAGCTTCAGTACATCCAGATGCTGATAGGACTTGTAGGATTTTAGACTCTTGGGGTGGATAACTCAATTGGGAAAGGAAGTATTCATGCCCAGCAGTCAGAAGGGTCTTCTCCTGGGCTGGGGCAGGTGGAGCTGCTGCCACAGGAGCAGGAGTGTGCAAGCTGTCACCTGCTTGTTTGTAGGTGTCTCAGGATGCAGACAGCTCGTGGTGGTGCTTGTGTACAGGGCACGTGAGGCCTAGCAGAAAGTGGGCTCCTACACAGCTCAGCTATGGTTTACAGCTAAACTCTAGTCCCTAAACTGACAGTGCTGGAGTCCAGAGTTATTTCTGAGGCCTAAAGCAGAGCTCTGTATCTGTGAGGATGGGAATAAACCCCTGCCCCATGTCTGCTAGCCAGTGGCTGCAGAGGGGGTAGCAAGGACTTGTGCTCCAAGGGTGCTGCAGACACTGTTGCCACACAGAAGAAAGGCTGTGGTGGCAGAAAAAAAACAGATTTGGGACTGTTGGCTTCATAATAGCAAGTCCTTCAGGCTCTGGTGCTCCTTAATAGCCAACAGAGCAGTTTCAGCTGTATGCTGCCATGAGTGAAATGTCCATCAGCTTCTGCAGGGGAGCAAGAGGAGAGGCTCAGAAATAATTGGTCTAATAGCCAGCAGAGCAGTTTCAGCTGCATGCTGCCTGTTGTGGCCATGAGTGAAATGTCCATCAGCTTCTGCAGGGGAGCAAGAGGAGAGGCTCAGAAATAATTGGTCTGGAAGTCCTAGATCCAAAGCTAGACCTAAGAAGTCTTTTGAGAATCTATTTCTGGAACTACTGTGGATCATAAAGTCCCTGTGCTCAGAGATACTGACTCTGTACAGGAAAAAAGAGTCCTGAAGAGCTGCAGAACCTCATTGACAGGCTCAAGCACAGAGGAGCTTACCCTGAACTGGTCACCTCACAAAACTGTGGTCATGCAAAGTCAGAGCATCTTGCCTTTAGAGTTTGCATCTGGAGGGGTTCAGATAAGACTGGAGGAAGGCAAAGGTTAATGGGGGCTGGGGGAAGAGATTTGAGGGCTGATATTGTGAAGCACACCTTGGAAAAGGTGGTGGTAAAGGGCAACTTCCAGCTCACTTAGAGAGAGACCAGGAAGGAAAGGACACTTCTGTCCCAGACATGCAGCATGGGCAGAGGGAGGTGTCACCTGGATGTCCTGCCACCTCCTGTGCTTGGCTGTGTGCTACCAAGTAGTACCAAGAAGTGGTGTGACCAAGTACAGGCTGGAGCAGGCCTTGACATGGAGCCTACATCAGCCAACAGCACAGCTCAGAAATGTGGCAGCCACTGAGAGCAATTCTTGGGCCTCTCTCTTCACATCCTGTCAGAGAGATCTGGTTTGATCTTCTCCAGCATCTCACAAGTGACTTCTTCTTGCCTTTCTGGTCCTTTCCAACTTAGTGTCCTGCTTACTGTTCCATAACTGCTTGGCCCACAAAGTGGGCATGGTCATGTAGCACAAATGCCAACTGAAATGGGCTCAGGGGAAGTTTAGGTTGGGTATTAGGAAGAATTTCTTTACTGAATGAGTGATGAGGCCTTGGGACAGGCTGCCCAGGGAGGTGGTGGAGTCACCATCCATAGAGGTGTTCAAAAAACATGGAGATGTGGCACCTGGGGCCCTGGTTTCGTGGTCGTGGTAGTGTTGGGTGATGGTTGTACTTGATGATCCTAGAGGTCTTTTTCAAACTTAATGATTCTATGAGAAGTCTTAAGTAGTCAAAAATTCCTTAAAATACAGATGCCAGATTTCAGGAGGGAATAAAGAGCCCTACCAGTCACTCATCTTTATCTCACAAACCCTGAAGTTCAGTCACTCAGCTGGTGGCACAGGCTGTTGTGAATGCCTTGCTTTGCTGCTTTGCTCTCACAGCTTTTAGTGCTGACTCCCAGAAGGTTTTTTCCTCCTGCAGAAGATCCCTCAAGTTGCCCATGGCCTTCCAGTATCTCAGGGGGGCCTACAAGAAAGCTGGGGAGGGACTTTTTAGGCTATCGAGTAACAACAGGACTAGGGGGAATGGGGCAAAGCTGGCAGTGGGCAGATTCAGGCTGGATGTGAGGAAGAAGTTCTTCCCCATGAGAGTGGTGAGACCCTGGCATGGGTTGCCCAGGGAGGGGGTTGAGGCCCCCTCCCTGGGGGTCTTTAAGGCCAGGCTGGAGGAGGCTCTGGGCAGCCTGATCTAGTGGGAGGTGTCCCTGCTCATGGCAGAGGGGTTGGAACTGGGGGATCCTTGTGGTCCCTTTCAACCCTGACAGATTCTGATCTGTTTTAGCAGAGGACTTTGGAGCCTTAATGGCTCAATGGTTGGACTTGATCTTGGAGGTCTCTTCCAACCTAAATGATTCTATAATATGTAGGCATTTCAGTTTCTCAGCTGTTGAACATACCTCTGGGGTACTAAATCATTTAGCACTGTCTGTGTTCACCATTTAGGTAGAGTTGGAAAGCTCATAGACTTGTCCCTCTAGTCAGGGCATGGTTAACCTAGGCCATAAAGCTCCCAGAAGTCTGCATTAAGAGGGAAATAAAGTGGATTCCTGAAGCCCAAGGTAATCCAGATGCCTTGATGCTTCAGGGGAAGGAAGATTTGGTAGCATCTGTCACCTTCTTGTTTGCTCTTGCAGGTAAATTCCACCGTCTCCGTGCCGAGGCAGAGGAACAAACCATTTGGGTGGATAAATGTGTCAGCCATGAGAATTACACCAAGGAGACCTCAGACAATGACATTGCCATGCTGCACCTGGCCGAGCCCGTGCTGTATAACAAATACATGCTCCCCATCTGCCTCCCCACACGCCACCTGGCAGAGCAGGAGCTGACAAGGAGGGGGAAGCAGATGGTGGTCACGGGCTGGGGTAGCACCAGTGACATTAACCACAATTACTCCACCCTCCTCAGCTACATTCAGATCCCCATCGTGCCCCGCAACGAGTGTGCCCAGGCCATGAGATCTGCCATCTCTGACAACATGCTGTGTGCTGGCAGCTCAGCAGACAAACAGGATTCCTGCAGTGGGGACAGTGGAGGCCCTATGATCACTAAGTACAAGGACACTTGGTTTTTGGTAGGGCTGGTGAGCTGGGGCGAAGGCTGTGGGAGGAAAGAAAAATTTGGGGTCTACACTAAAGTCAGTCAGTACCTGGAGTGGATCCAGCAGCACATAGATGAGATGTCAGCTTCTTATAAAGGTTGATTCTGGTTACTGGGGGTCTGGAAGTTGTGGCTCCATGCTGGTGGCAGTGTAATGTGCTGTCAGATCTGCAGTATTAAATATTGAGTATGTGTTAACCTGGTGTCCTGTTTTCCTTGGGATCTGTTGGTTTAATTTGTTTCTTTTTTACATTTTTTGACAGTGGTTCATTTCCAGGTTATGCTGTTCATTTGTAGCCTTGTCCTGCTTGGCCTCTTGCACTGAGATGCTGTACAGCATTGTAGAAATAAGGTCAGACAATTCCATCTCTGGAGGGTAAAGTGGCTGAATTGGTTGGGATGGGGAGCAGGAGAGGACAGAGAAAAGTGTCTTAGCAGCCACCACAGTGATTTCAGCTGTCATTTCAGCTTGACTCTCACACATTATCCACAGTGACTGTTTTGGTTTGCTCTGTAATTTTGTATTTTTTCTTTCAACACAGTGAAATTCTAATAACATCATCACTGCCTCCATGTCTTGTTCCAGTGCTCACAGATGAAGCAGATTCAACACATCACTAGAACTTCCAGTATTTTCTATTCTTTCTACACTCAATGCCTGATTTTAACCCCCCTGACTTCCTTAAAAGTCAGTGAGAATTCTGGTATTATTCAGATGAAGAGGTTTGGTTCCAAGCTTGTTCATGCCCTATCTTAAAGTCTGTAAATCTTTTCTGATTAGCAAGCTAAGCAAACACTTTAGTTGTTCCTATTGCTAACACCTACTGAGGTGGATCTGTGGGTTTGTATGTCTGGGTGTGTATCAGTAAAGAAAATACAGACACATAGCACCAATCAGAAGTAGCAACAGTCAAAATAAGTTTAGTATCACAGTTAATATTTGAAGTCTGATAAACAGAGTTAATCTTGTAGAAAAAAAGTGAAAGCTCTGACATGGTGACACCTGTTTCCAACATCCCAGTCAGGGTTTGACCCATGTTTGGGTCAGTGAAGAACTTCAGTCTGCTCTTGGGGTGAGATTGTTCAATGAAAAAAACCTCAGGTGCAACAAAATTCTTTTAGGATTTGTAAGAAATTTAATATGATGTCAGAAAAGAGATTTAGTACCTCTTAAACTTGTCAGCTTAGTCTTTCTGGCTTGTAACCTGCTGACCTGTTATTAAGCTGAAGGTGATTCATGAATTAAAGAAGTGACAGCCAGGCTAAGGGCTTCATGTTGGAGGTAGGCTGAAACTGAAGAGTCCCATCACCCAACTCTCTGTGTCCCTGGCTCTCTTATTTCTTTATTTCTCCTTCCTCTTTTTTATTTGGGACTGGATTTAAGGCTCAACCTTAAAATGGTGCAGGGCCTGCACCAAGAACACAGGACAAGACTGACTGCTAGGCACTGAATTACAAGGAAAAACATTATCATCTTCAAAGCCAGTAAAACATGGGTCTAATTAAAGGTAGGAGTTATGATTACCAGTGAATAGCTGTGACTGTTGCAGGGCAGTATCCACCTTCTGCAGGTGACTGCTGTGGATCCTCCCACACCCTCACAGCTCTGCATGTTTCAACAGATGTTTACAGAGCAGCTCGTGTCTTGGTCTCACCTTGCAAGGTGATGGAGTGTCAGGAATCTTCCCTTGAAAATTCCAGATTTTCCTGAAGAAATCTGTGGCAAAGAAGTGGCTTTTATTGTTGGAGGGTGTTTCCAAGGGCTGAGGGGTTTTTTTTGGTGTGCCTGTGTTTGGAAACACACCATTTTCTTCTGATTTGGGATTTCAGATGTGTTTCATACAATCCAGCAGGTTGTCTCTCTCCTCTGTCAATATTTGTGACTGGTTAATGATCAACCTCTTGACCTCGTGGCTGTTCCTGGTGTACATCCAAATCCTCTCTCCTGTCTTCCCCTCAAACAATAAAGAAAAAAAAAGTGAGTATAATTACATGGTTCTGTGTAAAGTGAATGCAGTCTGGATCCTGTGCTTTGGGAAAAATAGAGGTAGCAGAGAGGTATGTGCTGTCAAAACCTGGTGAATTATTTAGCCTGGGGAGGTAAGATGAAGAAATACAAACTTCTGCCTTCCAACTTTTACTGCCAGGTATGTGGTGGATGGTTTCCTCACAGGGCTTTGAGCATGAGACCATCAGCAGCTACACAGCAGCTGCTGCCACAAGGAACTGCTGGCTGGAGTGTGGAGCTCAGCCCTCAGCCTGGCATCCTGCACAGTCTGAACAAGCTGCTCACTTTGGGTCTGATCCTTGGCTCCCCTGGTGGCTTTTTCATCACTCCTGTGGGCCGCAGCTCAGACCCTGGGCTGGGTCAGTCTCTGCACGTTGCCTTGCAGGCTGTTGGAATTTCTCTTGTAGCAGGCAGCAGTGCTGTGGCTTGGGGAAACAAGGGACATCAGGTCAGAGGGAACTGGTTGCAATTTGCTTTACCTGTCCCTTCTCCATCTTTTTTTGCAGGCTTTGTGACAAAATACCCATTCATCCTTTCCCCCTGAAGCAAAGCAGCAGGAAGAGGTTTCTGAACACTCACTCTGAGCAGTTCCTTACTTGTGATGTTGCTCCTGGTGATGTGCTCCATCAACATATGTCCATCTTCATATTCAGGTAGGTGCTTCTGAATTGCATTTTTAACCTAATTGTCTTACTGTGGCAGTCTTGGCATTTAAGCTGAAACCACATTCCCTTTCTGAGCACACAGTCCTGTGGGTTGAAGAAGCACTTCCTGACATGCACAGGGAAAAAGGAATATTCATACACACATTCCCCAGAGAGATGGGTCTTTCTTAACTTCCTAGTTACACCACTACCCAGCTGAAGAGTATTCTCCTTGTGACATTGAACCCAAAATCTGAACTGCTTTTGCATGGCAAAGCTTTCCAATTTGGGAAGCCAAATTCAAGATCAATTTCAAGATGTGTTGTCAGACCTCATGATGATTTTACTACAACTACACATGGCTTGGAAATGGCTTCAGAGAGCTTAAGAACAGGCACTAGAGTGTCCAGGGTCTCATGAATCATTCTGACTGTCCTTGCAGAGCAGAAGTGTTACCTGCATGCCAGGAGCCTTTCCAACAGGCATAACTCTGTGTGGGACCCCTGCTCACAACAGGCAGCTCCTTTCAAGATGACCCCAGAGCTCGAGGAGTGGTGAAGGGCAACATCACTGATCCAAGGGAAGGACATCTCCCTGTTGCCAGACAGCAGATCTGTCCAAAGCTTTTCTCAGCTGAGAGTTTCTGTGGGCTGTTTCTGGTTGCCTAGAAATGAAGTAATTTAATTTTATTCTGGAATTTCAAACATTGCTGTTGATACCGATCCTGCAGCTGCAAACAAGTGGGTGTCTTTATGATCCAGCTCCAAAAGTGGCTCCTTTCTCAGGGGGTTTTGACTTCTCTAGGACACTAAATGACCAGGAAAACAGAATACTGTTAAGGGTAGTGCTCTGTGAATTTTACAACGTTGAGCTTTCTTCTCAAGGCACCTCTTAGCAGCAGTCTGCCAGGTGGATGGGGTTTGGACACAGGGTTCTGGGGAGGACCTCACTGCCATAGTCCCTCCTCTGGCCACTCCTCCCTTAGTTTACTGGCAATTCTAGGATATTGCAGGAGGAGAGAGCAGGTAGCTTGTGAAGTGATACTGAACTAAATGCAAGTACAAAGCTGCCACTTTATGTATTTCTTTTACTGAAGGAGTGATGTCTGTGCTGCTGTGGCCACAGGAGGTTTCTCAGGTTTATAAGAAAAACCTTATTGCCTGTGCTGATTGTCCAATAAAAACACATCACCCCACTTTACAAGCCACGATTCCACAATTCCCTTTTCTTTTCTCTGGACAATCAGTACTCTATGGATGCCTCTATTTTTCTAGCTCACATTTACAAAGGTCTAACTTGACCAGGGCCCAGTTCCAGGAGAGTCAGGAGGGTCCTTCCCCAATTAGGAAACTCTGAAGTGTGTCCCCTTCACAGACAGACACTCCTCCCTTCCTGCAGGTGGTCCCAGTCTTCATCCCCACACAGGACACCTGACCTTTGACTATTTAATGTGAGATATCTGGGGCTCATTTACCTCATGGCTTTCCCTGCAAGGTCAGCCACACCCTGGAGGAAAGCAGAAGGCAAATTGACCACCTCTCCTAGCATCTTAAGTATGGCATATGGAATTGTATCTACATCAGCTAACAGCCTGCTGAATATTGCTGCTGTATCATTTGCCTGTTTTGTCCCTGTCCTCCACAGCAGTTCCCTGCTTGCTGCTCCTCGTTGCCTGTCCCTGGCTCAGAGCTCTAGTGTCCTACAGCCCTGTGAGAGGAGCAGGACTGGGAACCCCTGGCAGGAGGGAGCTGCAATAAACTCAGCCCTGTGCTTGAAACCTCCAGTCAAGAGCCAAGCAAGAGGCAGGAGCAGAACACAGCACTGGGTGGCTGACTGGAACCAGTTCCTCACCCTTCTCCAGGGCTGCAGCTTGCTGAGTCCCAGGCTAAACCTGCAGAGTACAGGGAGTCCTGAAGAGCACCAGGAGTGCTGAAAAGCACCAGGAGTGCTGATGCTCAGATCCTTACCCCAGGAGCCACGAGGACAGCCTGTGTCTGTTCCTCCAGCCAGAAGAGTGGCTGCTGCATCCCCTGGGTTAAGGAGGTGGTTGGAAGTGTGGCAGACTGATGACTTTTCCATTGACTTTTCTTAATGGCACCTTTGAAACCAGGGACAATCCTGTGACAGAGTCAGCTGCAGTCACTACACAGTTCTGTTGTTCATGGTGCAAAGTCATGATTGCTGTCAAAGGAATTTTGGGTCTGTTTTCCACAAATAAAGTGCTCATTCAAGTATTACTGAGTGAAATGCTTGTGTACAATAAAGAACTGCTCTACAAATAACAGAGGAGACAACTCCAGCTTTTCTTAATGTTCATTCCTATCAGCAAGGGGTGTTTTAGAGGAAGAAGACACCAGTTGTTCCTGGAGGGGGTGAGGAACCAGCAGCTCTGAGGGTGCAGGATGAGTGTGGGGCTGGGCTCCCTGCTCCCCTCCCTGCCCACCCTGCTGG